TACACGACGGGCGTCGTCTCCTACGACGCGAGCGCCGAGGACGTCGAGGCGCAGCTCAACGCGCTCCAGAGCATCTCGCCGTCCAAGGTCACGGTCTCGCGGAGCGGCCCGCTCACGACGGGCCCGGACCTCATCGTACGACCGCGAGACGTCGCTCATGGACTACCTCGCGCCCGGCGAGGTCTTCCGCCTCGGCGGCGTCGACGGCGGCATCTACAGCTCGCACGCGGGCAAGGTCGACGGCTCGGAGATGCTCGGCTCGCTCCTCGACTACTCGGAGAACGCACCCGTCGTCGGCACGCCCCAGGAGCGCCTCAGCGCCAAGGTGCAGCCCGGCCGGTCCGTCCGCGTCGGCGGCGAGGTCCACGAGGTCGCGCGCACGGGCATGGAGATCCAGCGGCTCTACGTCGCCGCGGACGCCGTGCCGACGAACGCGTCGCTCCACGCGCTCTTCCGCCTCAGCGTCACGCAGAGCGGCTCGACGCAGCACACGACGTGCCTCGACTTCGGCGCGTCCGACGAGGACGTCGCGACGGCGCTAGCGGCCACGGCTACGAGTACCTCTTCGAGATGACGGGCACGAACAACAACCGCGACGCCTACGGCTACGGCGGCTGGACGAGCTCGATCCTCGGCTCCAACGCGCCGAAGATCGAGGTCGTCGCCGTCGGCTCCGAGTTCGGCTGCCAGGACGCGCTCGGCCCCGAGGAGAAGCTCGACGTCACGGCGACGACGAAGCACAACTCGACGCGCGTCGAGCTCAGCGCGAACGCGGCGCTCTACGTCGCGCCGGGCGACCGCATCCGCATCGGCGACTCGTCGGACCCGTTCATGATCTGCACCGTCGCCGAGATCGCGACGTTCCTCAGCAAGTACTGGATCGAGCTCACGCTCCCCTTCGACTGCGGCAACTCGACGCACGGCTCGGGCCCCATCTACGGCCTGACGAACGGCTGCGGCGGCGGCAAGACGATCCACAAGTCGCTCGCGGGCGCGCCGTCCTTCGCCGTCCGCGAGGTCGTCTCCGGCGCGGACGTCTTCGAGTACGACGTCTACTTCGTCGACCCCCACCTCGCCGACGTCGACGCGCTCGAGGTCGTCAACGAGGCCACGGGCGAGTGCCTCGACTGGAGCCACTACGGCGGCCGCGCGCGCGACGCGCGCGTGTCGACCGTCGTGCCCGGCGGCTCGCTCGAGGTCCAGACGCTCACGCTCGCCACGGAGAGCGCGTACGCCAAGCCCGCGCCGGGCGGCGAGTACTACGCGTTCTTCATCAACCACTACACGATGGTCACGGCCTCGTCCACGGGCCTCGGCAACGACCCCGAGGGCGCGTGCTTCGACTGGGACACGCCCGCGGCGACGCTCGAGGAGCGCATCGTCGCGGCGCTCAACCTGACGTACGTCAACTCCACCATCGACGAGACGCAGGTCAAGGTCTCGAGGTTCGGCTTCGGCGACGGCACCTCGGCCTGGGGCTACACCTACACGCTCGAGTACACGGGCTCCCTCGTCGGCGGCGACATGCCCACGGTCTTCGCGATCGACAACTCCATGTCGCTCCCGGAGATCTACTTCGACGGCCTCGTCGGCGTCTCGCAGCCGCCGACGATCTACGCCAACAAGAGCAACTGCTCCGCACGGCCCTTCAGCGACAACAACGACGAGTACGTCGTCGCCGACGTCGTGTCCGCGGGCGCGGGCGCGGGCACCGTGAGATTCACGGACGCGCTCCTGCCGCTCGGCTCGCGCGACGACGCGACGGCCGCGGGCCAGTTCCTCGGCCCGAACGGCACGGCCCTGTCCATCTACAAGCTCTCGGGCTCGGCGCTCTCCGTCGCCTTCGACGAGGCGCTCGGCGACCAGCCGGCCATGCTCGCGGACGGCGCGTACCTCGCGGACGGCGTCGCCGCGACCGTCGTCGACGACGTCGTCCAGGGCTAGGCGGCCCTCGAGGAGCTGCAGGTCGTCGACGGCGTGCGCGTCGTCCGCCACGGCGACGGCTCGCAGGCCTCCGACTACGGCTACGACTTTGAGATCTTCTTCGACGGCATCGGCATGCAGGTCCGCGACAACGGCCGCGGCACGGTCCGCGTCTCCGCGGTCCACGGCCAGACGGCCTGCACGGACCTCTTCGCGACGTCCGTCTACGGCGTCCTCACGCCCTTCGCGTGGACCGACGGCACCTCGGCGCACGACGACGCGACGACGGCGGACCACGGCGGCTTCGACCTCGCCGCCACGGACGACGGCGTCGCCGGCGTCCTCAACCTCGAGGCCGACCTCGAGCGCCTCCCGGCCCTCGACGACATCGTCGTGTCCGTCGAGACGACGGACACGGGCATGGGCCTCACGTGGACGCTCACGAGCCGCGACCCCGCCGGCGACATCCCGACGCTCGCCTGCACGGGCGACGCGGCGTTCGAGGACTCGAACGCGGAGTGCTCCGTCGCCACGGTCATCGACGGCAACACCATCGAGGGCTTCTTCGTCCTCGAGGGCAGCGACGCGCTCCCCTACGACGTCTCCGCCCAAGGCCCTCGCCTCGGCGCTCAGCGAGACCGCGGCCGCCCAGGTCGAGGTGTCGCGCGAGGGCCCGGACGCGCAGAACGGCTTCGTCTGGAGCGTGACCTTCGTGTCCGTCTCCGGCGACGTGCCGACGCTGGAGGTCGTCTCGTCCCTGACGGGCAGCGGCGCCGCCGTCGCGGCGACGACCGTCGTCGACGGCAACGCGCTCGGCGGCACGTTCGCGCTCCAGACCGCGGACGGCTACACGACGGACCAGCTGCCGTACGACGTCAGCACGGGCGCCCTCGAGGCCGCGCTCGAGGCCCTCTCGGGCGTCGGCGCCATCGAGGTCACGACGGGCTGGGAGCTCGACGAGTCGTCCGAGTACGGCAAGGCCTACATGATCGAGTTCACGACCGCGGAGGGCGACGTCGCGGACCTCATCCCGGTGACCTGGAACCTCACGGGCACCGAGGCCGTGGCCCACATCCGCGAGACACCAAGGGCAGCGAGGCCCGCG